ACGCGTAAGGTCTTGCCTCACACTTTGAAAGAAGAAGGAATAGCTTTTTTTTTACCTCCTCCCTGAGCCTCTGAGAGTGCTGCATGAGCCCTCCTTGTGCTGGCTCTCCACACAAGAGCAGGAGTGACAGAGATGATGCCATTCATCCTTCTTCCCTGGGAAGCCCTGTGGGATGTTTTTGTTCTTCTTGTGCAGTGATCCTTCACGTATTTCGTAAATCTCCCTCAGCTGGGACGTCTGTTCCATGATGATAGAAGAGGCAAAATGCCCTGCTTTTGGATCACCTCTACTATTAGCAGTCTGTTTCTCTGAAATTAATTTCTAAACCAGAGCAATACTACTGAAGGATTAATGTAAGATTAGAGTATTTATGCTTACAATAACTAATAATGTGAAAGAAATACATGTTCTTAAATTATAACTAGAAGCTTTTTTTAGCTGTTCCATTAATTAAAGGTTTTCGTGCCTAATGCTAATGGGAGACTGGTTTTCATGCAAGTAGGACCCGAGCCTTCTGAATTCCCAAATGCTTTTTAAGCAGTTAAACAGTAGTGTGCAGCCCGTGCCTCACACCAGTGCTTCTCTGGGCCCTTGCATGAATCATTGGGCCCTTGCATGAATCATTGGGCCGTTGCATGAATCATCAGGCCCTTGCCCTGACCATCACAGTGCTTAGCATCTGCACAGCTGTCCCATAGCGACAACGTCAATAACCCATTAATTTCAGTACATTATGCTCCAAAAGAGATTGTTTAATCTGGGGAGGTTGTATGAAGTTTCCTTTCAGGAGGAGCTAACATCCTGACTAGTGGGCTGGTGTCGTCTGAAGTGTAATCTAAAGTGTTCATACACATCTACATGTTTATATAGACAGTCACAAGATACTTTGGCAAATACATGCTATGCATTTGCTATGATTTTTCTTTCATTGACCACTGCAGGTTATGGCCAGATTCCAATGTATTTTTTTACACACATACATATGTGCACATGCTGATATAGATATAGATGTGTGATATATAGGTATAGATGATCTAGATGATATAGATGATATAGATATAGCATTATTTTGTATGAGTTTTAATAAATTTGGAATAGTTTGTGTAAAATATCTTGTCACTGATGTGCCGGCATATTCTGCTTGGCTAGCCTTTAAGAACTGAGGCTGTCTGTGACAGCAGCTTGAGTTATCCATGATGGGAGTCCGTTGAAATGAAGCCAATAAGCCTTTGATGAGTTTACTTTATCAAACAGTAACAGAAATTATTACTTCATTTTTTGCTGAGTGTTTCCCAAATGGGTAGCTGTGGAGTTTTACATAGCTATGTAAGGAGGAGCATGGGTGATTCAAGGGAGTCATTTATACCAACGAGAACCAGTGTTGAGAGTGGCTCAAGCACGTTCGGTATGTATCTGACTTGATGCTCTTTTACTGAACCATGAAGAAAGGGGAGACTGAAGGCCATTCACAGTTTCACATTTTTATGAGCTGCTTCTTGTCTTTATTAGGAGCTGACTCCTCAGCCGTTCCCAGTGTGACTGCTCACTGTGTATTACGCGCCAAGAGCTCGGAAATGCTGCTGTGTTTAATCCATAACTGTCAACATTTGAAAACAATTTTCCTGAGATAATTTTTATAGTTTTCCAAGTGAAACAAATGTGCATGACCTATGTATTATTATTTACATTATAATTCTAGAGATATGACATCCTTTTCCCTGACTGAAAAATTTGTGCCACATCTGCATCCTCCAGTCCTCTGTGTTGCGTTGTAACGGTGTCAGCTGGGCAGTGCCCAGAATCAGGTGGAAGAAATCTTAAGGTCTTCCAACCTCAGACTGATTAAAAAGGTGATGGAGAGTCCCAAACAGAAGGTTAAATAGAAAGTTGTAAACTGAGAATGTGGCAGAGATGGCTGCGCTCTTAGTTATTAGGGCCTCAGAAACTAAGCACATGTCGGGCTGCTGTTAAAGGTTGTCTGCCCGATGAAGAAGCTATTCAGTTGATACAAGAAGGCAACACTCTGAAAGATGCACAAACCAGAAGCAAATTAAACCAGGATAGTGAAGAGAGATGCAAAAGTCAGGTAGTCACAAGGAGGAACAGCAAAAGATTGGCCAAAGTTTCTCGCCCAGTCTGTGGAAGGGAGGCTGCGGATGTTGTGCAAAGACGGGCTGTTCTCATTTCCCTGCATTTGCTTTGTAATCCTGTTTATTGCACATCAAACCCATTTACATATCCAGGGATGAAATGGAAATGATTGATGCAAAGGAGATATTTTTGTTAATTGTTGTTGCTCTGAGTCATACCTGACTGGGACTGCTGGAGATGAGTGAGGAAAGACAGAACTATTATTAGAGGTATAAATAATTGTCAAGAGCAACTTTTAAACTTGTCTGTTACCACATATCAACATCCAAAATTCTCTGAGGAGAGGAGGGGCAGCAATATAAGGACTAAGCAAACACTACATCTCTGTTGAGGTAGATGTTGGCAACTGCCCCTGAACCTTTGCCCATTTTTTCATTTCTGCTCAACTGGAGCTTCAGTCATTTTCTGTCACAACCCCATCGGTGCATGCTGAACAACAGAGCGGATAGGTGTTTGAGTGTTGGGCTGCTTTGTCTACATAACAGTAGTGAAATATGTCCACTTTTTATCCTGTTAGTTGGAAAAAAATTCTTAATGTGCTCTCATTCATGCAAAATAGAGACAAGATGAGTTGAGTATCCAATTTGGGAAGGGAAGGCTCTGCCTCAAGTTCTTAAAGACACTGCATTTTGCAATGTAGCTATATGGCAGAGCACACAGGAGGATTTCTGGGGGTTCCTGGTCTGAAAGAGTAGTGAAGAAGGATTTTAGAAATATCTGTCTATGGATGGTTGTGTGATCCCTGGGTTCACTGCTGACATAGGCTGTGTAAGTAACTGAAGTGGGTCAAAACAACCGAAGTGCAGTTTGGTCGTGCATGAGTGGAAGCCAGAAAACCCAAGCTCCAAGTGATTTTGGAAATACCATCCTTCAGAGTATCATAGAATCATAGAATGGCCTAGGCTGTAAGGGACCTTAGAGATCATCTAGTCCAACCTCCCTGTCATGGGCAGGGACGCCTTTCAACTAGATCAGGCTACTCAATGCTCCATCCAACTTGGCCTTGAACTCTTCCAGGGAGGGAGCAGCCACAATGTCTCTGGGCAATTTATTCCAAAGTCTTGACACCCTCGTACTGAAGAATTTTTTTCTAAGATCCAATCTAAATCTATTCTCCTTCAACTGAAACCCATTTCTCCTTGTCCTATCAGTGGACACTCTTGTAAAAAGTCCCTCTCCAGCCTTCCTGTATCATCTAATGATAACATAGATCATGGCTTCCAATGCAAGTGATGCTGAAAATACGTCCATGGTAGCGCTCCTTGCTTATATTCTTCCACCTGTAACCCTTCTACTGTGAAATAATTATTGAAAAAGCTGTTTCCACTAGATAGGAGTTCAAGAAATGGCTCTGCAGCAGAACATAGTTGGTAGTTTGGCCTCCTAACTTTATTCCAGAAAATAGATTGTAGATCCTGTGGGTGGAGAACTCAGAATGGATAAGGACAAAGCATTCAGCCCTATTTCCTTTTGCTTTGTCTACACTGGGAAATATCTATCTTTGTGATAAACCTGAGGTTAATGGAGAAGTTACAAGGAATCTTTAGTGGCAGAAAATGAGTGAAAAATAAAGGTAATTGTCTTTGAGATTGTTACCAATTTCAGGATTTTTCATTTAACTAGAGTTAGCTCTCATATGAGACAGTCCTCACAAAGTGGTTTTTTTTACAGGGTAACTTGTCTTCGACAAGCTTGCATCCTGCTTACTAGGCTCAAGAAAGAGTACTGAGATCAGACTTTTCCTAAGAAATCTTAGGACTCATGATTTATTAATGTATTGTTTGCAGTCAGATGAGTCATGAAAACTCATGAGCCTATTTTTGTACCAGACCATGTGTTAATTTTAGTCATGAATCTTCTGCTGGTTATTTTAGCTGACAGAAATCATAAGTATTTTGGTTTTACTTTGTCTTTATGATATCAGCCTGTAATTCAGGTGAGTTGTTATTGAATAAAACATTTCTCAGTAAAGAAACCTCAGCCTGTGAAAGCCTCAATTGCAGTCCATTTCAGATTGCCATAAATAGGTGTACAAACTGAATTCAATAGCTAAAGGATGAACTGACAATGTGAGTTCTGCAGTTATTTGCTCTATTTCAAATCAATATTTCTTGGCGTCTCTTTTGTGTTCTTGACAGGTGAAGTTGAATAACGATAATCTTTATATCAACAAATGCTTTTGTACTACATAAGCCATTTCAATCAAGCACTTGTCTAAAATTAAGTCCTATGAATAGATTTTGGGTCTTTCGTTATCTTCACTCCCATTATCTTCACACCCATTTAATAATAGGTTTTTTCTTAAGTAGATTGCTCATGACAGTCTTGCACATGGCATTATTTTTAGCACTTGCAGCATCCACATGAAATCATTCAGTCTTCTCTTATATTCTGACCAAACACCGTATGGATTATGATCTTCTGCATATTGTGAGACATGCGTGTCTCATTCCAGAAGAGAAATGGCAAGATTATGTAAATCTATTTTCCCACTGTTTATGAAGATTAACATTTCAAAGTAGAGGGGAGTACACTCCAGTTAATTGGCTTCTACATAAAGTGACTACCACTGAACAGTTGATAGGACAAAGTAATTCCTAATAGTAATTCCTCTGATAGCTGCTTATTTCCTTTCATCTCTCTCTCTTTCTCCCAATGTACCTTGTATTTTATTCACAGCCTTTGTGAAGCTTTAGGCTTTTTACTGTCTCAGAAGTAGTGACGTAAAATGTCCACGTTACACTGGAAGAAGTGAAGAGCATGGTGGCGGTGGCTGGTAATCATCTTATTGGAGAATAAAAAGGTGAAATTCACTGAATCTTAAAACTGTTTTTGATTATGTATTTCAGGAACTTCTATTACATCACGATGCTGAGGGATCCAGTGTCACGGTACTTGAGTGAATGGAAGCATGTCCAGAGGGGTGCGACATGGAAAACTTCCCTTCATATGTGTGACGGAAGAAGCCCAACACCAGACGAGCTGCCTACCTGTTACGAAGGCGACGACTGGTCTGGAGTCAGTTTACAGGAATTCATGGATTGTAGCTACAACTTGGCCAACAACCGCCAGGTGCGCATGCTGGCAGACCTCAGCCTGGTGGGATGCTACAACTTGACTTTTATGAATGAGAGTGAGAGAAATATGATTCTTCTCCAAAGCGCCAAGAACAATCTGAAAAATATGGCCTTCTTCGGGCTCACTGAATTTCAGAGGAAAACGCAGTATCTCTTTGAGAGGACATTCAACCTGAAATTCATTTCCCCGTTCACCCAGTTCAACGTTACCCGGGCCTCCAATGTGGACATTGGTGAGGATGTGCGGCAACGGATAGAGGATCTGAATTTCTTGGACGTGCAGCTGTATGAATACGCAAAGGACCTGTTCCTGCAGCGCTTTCAGTACTCCAAGCAAGAGGAGCATCAGAAGAACCGGCTAAAGAGGCGAGAGGAGCGGCGGCTGCTGCGGGAGCAGAGAGCTCACCAGTTGCCAAGGGGAGAGGCAGCAGAATTAGCCGTTACTGAAGATTATAATAGTCAGGTTGCAAGGTGGTGATGCTCCTCCATGTTGACTCATTGATTAGAGGATAAGAGAGTTTGTGCAACTTGGCTACCTTGGAATTAGCCAAGGAAGGCCTACCGCTTTGTTTAACGAGACCATGTCTGACAACTTCCCCTCCTTATCTCAGTTTTTCTTGGTTTCTGCCAGTGAGGAGAATGTATTTTTTTCTCAGTAGTGATTAGTGCTATTAAATAGATTCCTGTCCAAAAAGACTTCCTTCAAAACCCTAAGCTAAGAGGATGGGTTGAAGAGAGAGCTGTATCCTTTACATTAACAGATGTACCCTATACAATCTGAGCTACCAAAACCTGTGCAGATATGAATGAAAAATTGAGAAAAAATACCTGGTTTGGTTCCTCTGTGACGTGAGAGCTGGTTTATTTCATAATGTCCTTTGCAAACTGTAGCATGTGGCTTTCTAGTGAGTGAAATGGAAGAAAGCGGATTGACCTTCAGACTTTTACACGCTGTGTTTTAAGGGAAGAATTTGCTGAGGTGATTTAAAAAGACCTAGGAAATGTGGGATTGGGCCATCGCTTATTCAGTTCTGTTAGCCAGCAATCAGAGGTGATTTAAAAGTGAAGTGGTGAAAGAGTTATCTTATCTCTCTGGAGATGCTGAGAGTACTGAACCCAGCCAGGTAGCAGCCATCTCTCTGAGTGTGTGTGGAAAAGGGAAAGCCTTGGGAAATGAGGTCTATGCTGCGGCTGGACACATGTTGTGGAGATTATCCGGATGGAGGCAGTGAAATCAGCTTTCACATTCACAAAAGGTGAAGAGGGTCCAAGCAAACTGCAGGGAAGAGGAAAGAGAGAGCAGGAAAAGCTTAAATATTACTGTGACATTTTCCAAATTTGCTGTAAAAGCCTAGAGATATGTCGTCTGTGAAGGCAGGCCGGTTCATGATATTGTCTGTTAAAATACATTGATGCCAAGTGAATACACTTTATATTGATTTTCTCTCCAACTACAACGGTGGCTAGAAAAAAAAATCAGCTTTCTATTTTATAGGATACATAATGGATATGTGGAAAGTCTTGATATTTATTACTCTGTATGAAGATTCTTTGTAAATTTATTGTTTTCATGATGAGAGATCTGTATCTGTTTTTCTTCCTTGTCTGAAAAAAGATTCAGTGGGTTCTTCCTCCACGTGTTACATTCTTGTGGCCAAACTGCCTCTATTTATTCCAAGATTTTATGTTGTTCCATTCGCAATAGTGAATTTTTAAAAAGAGGGTCCTGTGCACCATAGATCTTTTGAGAGAGTTTTTTTCCTTCTTCTAGCGTAAATGTAAAGCTTTAGGAGGAAATTTCTCTAAGTGCCTCAACGTGGCTGCTAAATCGAGATGCTGAAAGTATATTATTGCATGCATGAATGGCTTTTACCTTACAGATTTGCTGATTAGAAATACCGGAGTACCTGATGTGGATGCACATTTCTCATTTATTTTCAAAATTCAAGGTTTTTTATCCAGTCAGTAAAAAAATACTGTGTTACAGATAGAAGAGGCTGAATTTGAAAAATTTGTCCATTCATTTCCAAGTCTTATTCTTTTAGTGCATGCTGTATCTTCTTTTTCTCCGACAATGCTATTGCTACTTATCTATGCACAGTATCAAAAATGTGATCTAACAATCCTGTGAGAGTCAATGCATACAATAATACATTAAACATGGAATATTGCAATGGCTGTTAAGAAGCAAAGAGGGCTACTAGAGTGATGGCTTGTTATCAGTGTATATTATTAGCAATCTGCTGCTTTATGCCTGATTGTCAATGTGTTACTTTGGGGGCAAGTAGCATCTTCTCCCACCTCCACGTTCAGAAGGGAAAACGTGGGAACACAGATCGTTATTCTCCTGCCTGTAAGTGGGATGTCTGCCCTAGAGAAGAGTGTGGAGCTCTATAGACTTCCTGGGCTGTACTTCTTGGATCCCCATCGCCTGGAAGAGGTGCTTGGACACCTTATTTGTGTGCGAACACCTGCCTTCAGAGATTTAAACTGAAATGTTTACAGTTTAGGACTGAAGCTCATGGTGAGGCCATGAAGAGTGAATCCTGACGGGTGTTATCACACCTTTAGCTCAGTGCTCAGTGATCTGACATCTCACTCCCAGGGCTTCAGGCTGGGCTGGTCCTGGCCCTGCAGAGGGAAAGCGCTTTCTGGCTGGTGATGCAGGGACAACAGGGAGATCTCCCTGTTCCTGGGCCCGGTGGTGCATCTTGCTGCAGGCCCCAGGGAAGGAGAGGGGAAGGATGCTTTTGGTGCCCGATGCTCTATGTCCAGGATTTGCAGGGGCACTCCTCATTTTCATGAGCACAGAAGGCTAGGGGTGCTGGGAGAGACCCCAAAGAGCCCCCCAGCAGAGGCAGAGGCGGGTTGGGCAGTGGTACAGGAGAGGCAAGGCTGCGCAGGAGAGAGGTCAGCCACATGGGAGGAATGATGCAAGGCCAAATTCATGTTAAGGAGGAAGATAAGTGAGGAAGTAGAATCGGTCACAACCCATCTTTTGTTGTAAAGCATCCCTTCTTTTTCCTTTTAAACATGGAAAAAGGGCCCTCTTCCTCATGTCCTTGCCTCTTTCCCCAGTGGGACACCTCCACACCACTCACAGCAATGAGAGCCTCGTTTTTCATTTACAAACTGCAGTGTTATCTTTTCAGAGGAGAGGAGGCAGAGCTCAGAAATGGTTCCCTGGAGCCTCAGCAGTGACTGTAAGTATCAGTTTCAGCTGTCTAAGCACACCAACCGTTCTCCTGACTATTCCTTCTGCATCACACAAAACAAAGCCTAGTGAGGAAAATCGAAGCAGTCCTTGGGCAGTTTACATTACCTTTAATAGTTTGGCAATACCTTAATGCGATTCCTAGCCTTTTCCACAGTCATTTCCCTGGAGACAAGATTAGGGCCCTGAAGAGCTGTTAATGCGGTGCAGCATCTATGTTAACAGGATTCGCCTTAACGCTTGGGATTTAGTTAAAATTGAAGTTGGTTTGTTGTTTGGGTTTGGTTTGTTTTTTATCCCTGGAGGCTGTGTAGCAAATAGCCCTGGTTGTGCAAGAGTAGTTGAGTTGGAAGCATCCAGCGGCTGAGATCTTGCCCAAAGTCCCTGGGACTGAAAGACCAGACACCTCCTTCCCCAGGTCCAGCAGCAGATCCAGCAATCTCACTGCACCAGCGATACTGTTTTTCTTAGCAGTATTTCTTGGCACATGACAAATAAAGCAGTTTGGAAATACTTTCAGGCTGACTTCTAAGACACAGGCTTGCAGCTTTTTTTCCTCTTGGGCACTGTGCCTGAAATAATGTAACACAAAATAAAAGCCCTAGTTCATATCTCTGTTCTTCGAGGGTTTTTTTTTGCCCTGACAGCACAGACTTCACTGTAATTACACTGGCTTGTATAAGGAGCACAGCATGTTTCTTTCAAAACCTTCATGAGCAACAACTCTATAGGATTTCTGTCCATCTTTCTGGCATTATTTTCTTGCTTAAACAAGGCAATTTGGCTTCTGCTGCTCTAGAGCTGAAACAAATCTCATTCTTTTGTAATGGAGATGTACTTGCTAATTTCACCCATCACATCCTCAGCACTGAATGTTTTTTCCAGTTATAATTCACTGTAGGCTGGGAGCAGACAGAGAAACATGCTGTGTCATTAAAACTTGTTCCTGGTAATTCGATGTCTAGTCCAAGAACTCAACCTACTGCCCATGGGCCATACTTTATTAAGGAATGAAATTTTGTCCTCTCTTCCCCAGCCATCAGCGGTAACAATAAAAAGCTTTTTCACCATGGGGAAAGAAAAAAACACACAATTTCTGATGTTGTTACCAAGCAAATGGCAGATCACATCACCACCTGGAGATGCTTCAGATTTGATATCCATTGTCAAACTGGGAGGTTTCTCAGGTTGGCCTTCTCCTTAACAAATGCTTCCTTCTGCACTAGCAGGTTCTTGTTTCCCACTTGCAGCCTTGTATCAGTTATGAGCACTGATCTTATAAAACTTATCTCAGTAACACTTTTTCTCCATTGCTGTTCCCCTGATATATGTGGAATTATTCTTTTTTGTCTGGGATAAGAAATATCTTGTTTCCAGGCTGTTGGAGACTAACTTGTACAAGATGAACAATCGTAATAAAGTCATTCTGCTGGAGCAGATTACTGTATCCTTCCTACGTATGGCAAAAGCATACTCAGAAAAGGTACCCAGTTTGCACTGGAATACTTCTTACAGTTTGATTCTTGTAATATTTTTTTCGGTTGATATTTTGTGGAGAGAAATAAATTCAGTAGCCTACAATGTCCTTGGCTTTCTTCTTGGACATATCACTAGCTCTGTGACTTCAAGTAAATGTTGAAAGTGAAAAAAAATAAATCAAGAGTTCCCATTGGTTGCTGTATTTCAGATGAAAGGGTAAACTAATAGGTTGTAAATTACTTTATTCTTTAGGAATTTTCCTTCTGTTTATGTGCAATAATGTGTGTGAACTCTGCTACTAAGAGATTGTATTGTGAGTAACCATATCTACTTTTATTCCTATTTAAAAGATAGTTCGTAGATCTAGGGATTTTCATTGATGTAAAGCACAATTTAATGAATTATTTAATGTGTTTAACCATTGTGATGTCAAAAGCGATTGTTTTCATATATTTATTTGTTCGTGGGTTTCTGTAAAATGATGCTCATTAAGAAATCTGTTAAAAATGAAGAAGTTTTGTTGAATATTGTTGAGTCCATGAATTGCTTAAGAGCAACAAATAAACATTGCGTTTTCGAAACACTAAGGGTTCCATCTTATCTACGTAGCCATAAAAATGTAGTGGTAGGGGTAGTTTCAGGCATAAAGATACACCATGAGCATAATCATGTTTTTTTTAACAAAATATACATGGAGGAAAAGCATGTTGATATAGCTTACTATTTAATTATTTTGGGGCCCAATACCAAATCTTTTGATTCCAATTGACTTTGATGGGCTTTAT